CCCCTGCGGGGGAGGCGTCGCTGGAGCCCCCCGGCCGGGGGCCGCGCTGCAGGCGTCGCGGCGGGGCTTGCCTTCCGTTCGTCGAAACCAGCCGTTCCCCTCGCCCGCCGCGGCCGCCTCTCGGAGGAACCGTAACGTTTTCTTCGTCCCTTTAAAGGCTTTTCTCGGCGACGAAGCGCGGCTCTGCTCTGCCGAATTGCTTTGGTGGAAGCTGCCCTTGCTCAGGCAGCGGGTTTGTTTCTTTTTCAGTCTTGGGAGTTTGTGTATTGGGTTTGGAGGGTTCAGCACCAAAGCGGTGAGAATCCGGTTTAATCGCCTCTCTCGCCCCCTGCCCGGCTGAGACCGGCCTAACGACCTCATTAAAGCTCCTGCAGCTCCCCAGCAGCTGCCCGTGCAATTAGGGAAGGTGGGGACGCTTCGTTAATAATAGCACCCTTGTTTGCCTTTTATTTGGCTTCTTTTGACCCCCCCTCCCCAAGGCGAGCGCCGGCCGTTTCTTGGGGAGCCGTGGGGAAAGGAATACGTGTCCGGACCCAGGCAGGGCTCGGTGGTTGCGCTCCCCTCCGTTCTGGGCTGCAAGACCCGTCGCCCGTGGCTCAGCGGGCGAATCTGCGGGGCCGATGGGGGGATTTGCTTTCCGAGCGCCCGCTGGCAGCTGCGTTTCTCGCGCGCGCGGATGCCCGACGGGAAGGTGAGCCAAGGCAGGCTGCCTGCAATGCAAATTAAATATACGTACATGCGTGCATGTGCATATATGCACACGCGTATACATGTGCGCATATATATATATATATGTCTCGCCTGCACCCAGCCGTCCCCGAGGCGGGTGTGAGTCAAAGCGCTCGGAGCGATTCCCAAAGAAGCGGAAACGAATTGCATAGTTCGGGCTGAGCTGCTTGGCGGCGCGCGGCCTCGTGCGCTTAGAAGCGCGGTCGGGCGTTGTTGCTTATTTAACCTGCTTGGAAGGGGGAGAGGCGCAGCAGCGGCGTAATAAATCCCCGCTCTGTTTTGGGAGGGTGGCGTCCTCGTAGGTGGTTGGCAGATGGGAAGGAAAAGAGGCTTTTGGGCAGATGCCGGCGCGCTCGGCTGCCGTTTGCAGCCCGCGGGTGTCCCGGGGAACCGGCGCG